TCCGTGGTTATCTCCTGTTTATCAGGAAATGGTTCTAATCCCTTTCACTTTCTTAGAAAAGCAGACTTAAGTAAACGGAAGCGTCTAAAACATACAGTGTTTCCCAACCTTGGCAAACTTGAAGAGATCCGGACTTCAACTCCCAGAATTCCCGAGCCAGCATTTGCATTTGCTGGCTGGGGAATTCTGGGAGTTGAAGTCCGGATCTCTTCAAGTTTGCCAAGGTTGGGAAACACTGTATGTTTTAGACGCTTCCGTTTACTTAAGTCTGCTTTTCTAAGAAAGTGAAAGGGATTAGAACCATTTCCTGATAAACAGGAGATAACCACGGACTGAAAAGACCCTGGGGTCCCTAAATGGCTCATTGACGCGCTATTAGAATACACTGTGGTGAATAAAACCCATTTAAGTTCCCCCAAAAGAGAGAGAATCCCACTTCCTTTCTAACATTAGGAAATACCCGTTTCGCAACGGAATAGAAAAAAAAAGTTGAGCTGTAGTCGGAGACATTGGTAACACTTTCTTTTCTGGAATAGAAAGAAAGAAGAACAAAATTGTACCCTTTTGATTAGAAAACGACAGCACAGATTTTATTTTTTACCCAAACGAACGTGAGTGGGAATTTCAGGATTTGGGTTCGCACCGCACATCAACGTAATGGGTGTGATGTATATATCCAGCCAATGTGATTTATTCGCGTTAAACCACGGGCGAGCCTATTGTAGGGACCTCGCCAAATTCACCGGAAGGATGTTTGGAGTTTGGAGAACACGATGAGTAGAGTCTCCTGCTTGGACAGAGGGGTTGGACTAGATGACCTGCAAGATCCCTTCCAACTCTGTTAATCTGTTAATGAACCAGAAGCTAACTTTATGCTTTGGGTCTGAACAATACGCTAGGGGCTGCTGAAGTAATTCAAATGTGCGACGGTGTGTTCACACAACCAGTTTAATCCTGTTATGAAATTAACTAAACTCATTTACTGAGTGGGCCTGTGGGAATTCTCAGTCATCCCAGGTCATAGTTGTCCCAAAGGTGCTTTTTCCAAAACGCAACTGGATTTTCTTGATTTCCCCCCCTTTTGAAAATGCATCAAAGCTTCTTGGGAAGAGAAGCGAAACGTTTTCAAAGAATAATAATTAAAAAAAAAACCCAAGAAAATCCAGTTGCCTTTTGGAAAAAGAACCTTTGGGATATTTTTCTGAGTTGTACAATACTCTGGAACTCGACGTTAACCAAGGAACTGGGTTCGAACGACAACTTCCTAAAGCTCTTCCCTGACTTAATGGATGAAAATACAACAGGTGGGTCTTCTTAACCCCCGGCGTCAAGCTACGTATAACAGCAGCCTGTGAAGTTAACTTCTCCAGGGTAGCGTTTTGATCTTCACCGGAGCCAATACACATCAGAGNAGGTCCAACTTCAAGAGAAGAGACTCACACCCCACAGTCTCTGGAGCAGGGATCCTGCGAGGAACTAATGATCCTCGGATAATAACTGCCCTTCCCCCCCTTTCCTCTGGTGTCGTGGTTGGTGGAGCACCTGGAACCCTTCTGGGCACATTTCTGAGAGGGGGACTCCTCCCTCATGGCGCAGCCAGGTTTCAGTAATACTGGAGTTAGGAGAGATGGCTAAATTGATTGCTTTGATCAAAGAAAAAAAGACACATTTTGCTTCTATTTGGAAACCGCTTCTGGACTTTGTGGTTGAGATGGAAAAAAATGAAACTTTGATTTTGGGTTTCACTGATTAGATAGATCTGTTGTCATACAAATGGCTAGTCTATATTATTATGTAAAAGTAAAAAGTTGAGGTTTCATGTTACTTTTTTTATTCTACTGCACCAAAGGGACTTGGAAGTCAATGTCTTTTCTTTCTTTTTCCCTTCTTTTTTACACTTTTCTCCTCCCTTTTCCCTCTCCTATTTTTACTTGCTTTTGTATTTTTGTATTTTATGTTATAAACTAATAACAATAAATAGTCATTAAAGGAGGACTGCCTGTATTGGTTTTTTTATTATATGAGCAAATGCTGTGCAGAGGATGAAATGTACATATTGTCAGGGTTCCAAATAACATCCAAAGTTAAATCAGAGTCCAAGGCAAAGTATTGCTCAAAGTTCCAATTTATTAAGGGAGTCATGTTGGCACATCTGTAAAAAACTGAATCTAAGCTTCCTGGTTTTCCACACCCAGTTGAGAGTTCATGATCTTGCCCCCACATCCACAAGTCCATCACATGGTCCAATCTTCCACTGCCATGCTGGCAGTTCCACCCATCCAAAGTATGATGATGTTTTTGCAGTTATTTCCTTAAGATATAACCTATGGCTCTAGGATCACATTGTTGGTTTGAAGTAGCAAGCTTGATTGAAACTGGCCTGTGTGATATGAACCTTCTAGTTTTCATTTCAATTTCTCTACTGAGAAACAATAACAGATGGCAGGATTGTGTGATCTTGAGTAAAAAACAGAACTGTATTACAAAGCAGAAAATAACACAAGACTCCAAATTATATAAAATTTGCATGGGTTGATTCATATCTAATTTAAATAAGAAATGCAAGGCATTTCAGTATAGTAGGGAAAATTGTCATTGGGTAACCTGTGTGCTTGCTTGGACTTCTTTCCAAGGGTCAGTAGACAACCTCAAGGCAACTCTCTTCTGATCCTTCATAAGCAAACCCCTTCAAATGGAAAACTATTGTAAAGAGAGAACTTGTCTTCTAACAGCAGCACAGTCAGATAATCTTTTTCAATGAAGTAATGTTAGAATGCAACTTTCCACACTTCAGTTTTCTGAACCTATAAACGTCAGATCACTAGGCATCTGCTGGGGTACAATTGATGAAACGTGTCATGACATGACAACACAACCTCTAATTTATGTACTTGTCTGCAAGTATGAAATGATTTGTGTGATGACATTTCATCCCTTTTTTCTTATCACAACTAGCAGCGAGTACCTATGTCAATAAATATAGGGAAATTAGTAGGAGGAATCTGCTTACCTCCTTTCCTTGTCTAAAAGATTTGTCCTCATTTTTTGTGTTCCCTAGGGCATTTTTCACTTTGTCCTTAATCAAAATTTAGTTATTTTTCTTCGTGCCTCACCTGCAGAATTCAGATTTTAGCCTGACTCACAATAATATGGGAAAGTATTCTCGGTATCTTAAACTTTCCTATAACCAGAGGTTTTTTTCTTAATTACCTTTAGTTTCTCTTGCCCATAGACCAACCTGAGGAATATTTAGTTATGAAAGTTACACACCTAAACTAATGCTTCTCCAATTTGCTCTCCTGGTTTCAAGTAGATGATATGGCTGCTCTGGGTAGACATGTCAAACCAGTGGTGAAATTCAAAAAAAAATTTTTTTACTACCGGTTCTGTGGACCTGGCTTGGTGGGCATGGTGTGGCTTGCTGGGCGTGGCTTGGTGAGCGTAGCAGGGGAAGGATATTGCAAAATCTCAATTTCCACCCCACTCTGGAGCCAGTCAGAGGTGGCATTTGCTGGTTCTCCGAACTACTCAAAATTTCTGCTACCGATTCTCCAGAACCTGTCAGAACCTGCTGGATTTCACCCCTGATGTCAAACAGAAGAAAGTGAGTCATGAACAAGCCAGCCTGAAAGAACTATAACCTACCAGGTCAGTTCCAGAGATAAAATGGGATTTTCACCATCCCCAACGACTGCAAAACTGATATCATGATCACTTCTCACTGAGAGCACCAAGAAAAAGTTCTCACCGAGGGCATGCTCTCAGTTTATGTTTGTAGTGCAGATAATAGTCTTTGAGAAATCTCAGAAGTCTCCAAACCACAGGCAACTTGAGCAAAAGAGTCAACAATATTCT